TATCTTATTTTATATATTACATATTTATTTTTAACTAGCTTTGACTCTTTGTAAATTTTTTTCTACTCAATTCCACCTTTAACTGCATGTATCTGTAGTGCACTTTTAACTAGTGTAGTTTTAATGTTTGTTACTTTTTGGTCATCTGAGACCAAAGTAATATTACCTAATGGTATTATCAGTTTCTGTACCAGGAAACTGGTCTTCTCAGTTTCTGTGCTGAATTCTGACCTGAAACAGGTACTATATTAGAGTTAGAATTCAATACAAGCCCTTAAATGCCTATTAGGCACTGAGCACAAACTGTTTTTCTTTACAGATGTGCTTCTATTGCACCACACTATTTGTTAAATGTAGATGTAGCATATATAGACGTACCATTTTCAGATAATGGTACTTAAAAAATACATCTTCACCCTCAAATATTGCGAACATATATAACATATTGCTAAGCTGTCAAATTATTCAGAATGTAGAATGATACTTTAATTTAAAATGCATTTTACAACATCTACTTCTTGATATAAAAATGGTGATTTATGAGTACAATGGCTGAGAATATTCTTAAGGCAAGGTTTAACTGTGGACAAAAGTTAAGGAATTTTTTGCTTTCATGGCATTTTTGTGATATACTTTAATAGAAAGAAAGAAAGAAGGAAAGAAAGAAAGAAAAAGAAAGAAAGAAAGAAAGAAAGAAAAGTCATTTGCTCAAGCCTGGAGCCTGATAAGCTCTTCTACTTTCTTAGTGGAAGATTTTTTTTCCTTATGGCTTAATTACATTTACTTCATAGATATATAGTTAGTGTATTAGGGCCATATGGTGTATTTTGTTTCAACTCAAGTATCTGAACACAAGATGTTGAATATTTAGCATTGCATAGGAAGAAGGAGACAAAATGAAATAATGGCCAGGATTCAAGCAGCCATTATACAAATTCCAAAGGCACCACCAAGCCACGCCATAAAAGCTATTGAAGCCAAAAAATTCTTAAAGAAGAAAAGAGAAGCAGAGGTAACTATCATCAATATTCTTTTAATTTTAATTATATGAACTTGCAAAACATGATTTCTGGGAGCATTTACACTTACAAATACTGTACTTGCACCATCCAAAAGCTGCTGAAATAACTGTTAAAATGATATTGTACACTCAACCAGTGAAAATTGGGCTAAATATTAATATGATTATGATTCTGCACTTGTTACTTAGTAAAAATTTATTTTGATGTCAGGGAAAATTCTTATTGAATAAATATCATAGGTAGCTACCAATTTAATTGCTGATAGTATTTTAGCTTCTAGTCAACTAAGTAGAATATGTGAAATAAAAGCATTAATGTTTCCTTTTCGTTAGTGCATGATGAAGTTTTGCACGATAATGTATGAATTCTCCTGTAACACACTATAAAACTTCCTGCTCTATCAGAAATGTTAGTAACAGCTGAAATTGACAAGCCTTAAATCAAATGAAGGGATGATGGCAATGCAGCAAGAAAAACATTTTCTCTAATATCTAGGGCTGAAGAGTACTTGGTTTGTAATCTTACAGTTGATGGATTGTAATCTTACAGTTTATGGATTATATTGTCATTAGGAGTGCAAATATTACCTGTTTTTACAACTGCACAACCGTGACAGATGCATTTAAATGTAAGAGTGTAGGAACATAGCTGTTTGAGTAGCTATCAGTACTAAATCTAAAGCAGATCATAGCCTAGAATATCTTGTTTCAAATCCCCGAATGGTGGGAATTCTATAAACTGCAAGAGTCCCACATAAAATCAGAATTATCCTGCAGAATGAACAGCTGCAAAATCTTAGGATTTTCTGCCTGGTGGACATAGGTATAGCTAGGAAAAGAGGAGGTGGGAAGGAAATGAAAGGTAGAAGAAGGAAATAGTCTTGCCATTTTTCTTGATCTAGCTGATAACTTAAAATATTTTCCGTGTAAACATTTCTGTTGTACTAATATGACATAAAAATAATTCCCTAATACTTAGTCTGTTGAACCTTCCTTCTGATGTTTAGTGAAAAGAAACATTACATTTTGTGTTATTTCTTAAGGACACATACAAGGAGATTAAAAAGTTTGAGAAGTCTATGGCAGGAAATGCGTCTGCAGTGCACAGCCAAGACACTGGCAGGTAATATTTGGGTGTTAGATTGCTAAGATTAGCCAGGTTCTTACCTCAGGTACCTACTGTCTATGTAGACAGCTACTTCTGGAAAATGTAATGTCTTTAGTTTAAACTGTGATTGTCCTTTGAGTGATTGTCCCACTAGCACTGCAAATATTCCAGCTCCAGCACCGTTACAGAGTTTTTACCTTACCTTTAGTTGTAGTAGAGATGGTGCAAGCTTCATTCTCTTTTTTTTGCCATATATGCACCAACAAAGAACAAAAACTGCATCTCTTCTTCTCTGTTTATTTAAGTCATTGAATCTGTATGGTTGGTTAGACTTGCAGAGAGACGAGAATGGTTGTGGATGTACACACATGGTAACACATTTCAAAAACAACAGAGAGAAGTAACCTTTCTCCTTTGACTTACCTGTATGTTCATTTATTTGTGAATAATTTTAAGTAATGGTCATTCTGTCACCTTTAGTGATATGTATACCACACTCATAAAAGATGGCACTTGTCCATACTGCTGTGGATACTTCTGTGTGTAAACAACTGCGATTAATCATAGAATCAAAGAATAGTTTGGGTTGGAAGAGGTCATCTAGCCCAGCAATGTTGCAATGAGCAGGCACAGCTTCAACTAGATCTCGTTGCTCAGAGCCCCATCCAACCTGAGCTGGAATACTTCCAGGGATGGGGCATCTACTTCCTCTCTGGGCAACCTGTGCCAGTGTTTTACCACCCTCACTGGGGAACATTTTCTTCCTTAGATCTAGGGTAAATCTACCCTCTCTTAGTTTAAAACCATTACCCCTTGTCCTATCACAACAGGCCCTGCTAAAAAGTCTATGCCCCCTTTAACTACCGGCAGACTGTAATAAGGTCTCCCCAGAGCCTTCTCTTCTCCAGGCTGAACAACCCCAACTCTCTCAGCCTGTCCTCACAGTAGAGCTGTTCCATCCCTCTGGTCATTGCTGTGGCCTCCTCTGGACCCGTTCCAACAGGTCCATGTCTTTGCTGTGCTGCGGGCTCCAGAGCTGGATGTAGGACTCCAGGTGGGCTCTCTTGAGAGCAAAGTAGAGAGGCAGAATCACCTCCCTAATTTCCTGTTTCTGCAGAATTTGCTTCCTTTTAACAAATTAACTAATTGACAGTTGGTTCAAGTCAGTGCTGGAGCCCTCCTCTTGACTTAGTGGTCATTGTGGGGCACAGGAGCATCAAAAAGTAGCCACAGTGCCCACAAAGAGTGCTGTTGCACATTTGTCAGACTTGCACATAACTATACAAGGATCTATATGAAAACACCTCTAAGAACCATAATTCCTATCAAGTCAGTGATCCTTTTCTTTTTAACCTTTTCAATCAGTAGTATACAGGAATCATTGAAAACACAGAAGTTGCAAGAAACTACAGCACACACAGCAACTGAGCTGTTAAATATTTATTCAGATGATGAATATATACGGAAAATTCAAAAACGTTTAGAGGAAGATACATTTGCTAGAGAACAACGAGAAAAGAGACGACGAAAAATGCTAATGGAACAGTTAATAGCACATGAAGCTGAAGAGGTGAGAGAATATATGCTGAAGCATGTAACCCATGCACAATTATTAATCTGAAAGTTTGCTTACAAATATAAAATAACAGTATTTTTGGAGGGTTGAATAAAATTTGGAGGGGATAAAGGGACGTATATATACCCTTATCTCTGAAAATAACTTTTATGCCAACTATTGTCTTTCCTTGAAAAGTATGGAAGGTTGTCCATTCTTTCTCACCACCTTTATGTCATACTTCATCCTTACAAATATTAAAAGATCAGGTTAAGGCAGCAGAGCTAAAATTATTAAAAATCAGTTGAAGGCATGCCTTCTATTCTTTTCCTTGCTCCTCCTGCCAAGCTGAACATCAAAATGTATACTGGAAGAAGATACTTATTAAAAAACAAGAAACATGGCATTCCTTGGCTGAAAACCTGTATTTACAAATGTCACATGTAACCTTTTACTCCGGACTGGATGAGTTCTGAAATGGTTGTGCTGCATGATATGAAGAAGCAAAACACTTATTTTGCAGATCAGAGCATTGATTTTTGATGTGTGATGGAATAGAAGATGTTTCTCTGGAGGATGTCTGTGCTGTGTCTAAAAATGGATCTTGCAGGTTATTCGATTTGAATCTTTTCCTGTAAAGCACAAGGCTTTTCAGATTCCTCCTCAGATACTTCTCATTCAAAAAGCAGCTCATAGGTTACTGACTTCACAGATCTTCTCTTCTGTGATGATTGTATCAAAACAGAACCTTGTAACTTACTGGGTTTCTGTGATTTCTACTTATCTTTTATCTTACTGTTGCGCTGTGAGTCCTTAGCTTAGAATCATGTGTGTTGAACCCAGTATAGCTGAGCCCGTCTCCACTCTTGTTGGATAAAAATAGCACTTCAGATGTGTGGCATCTCTGAAAAGGAAAAGTTTGATATTTTATATATATATTTAAGCATTGGCTTGTAATGTCTGGAGAATTGTTTGGAGTTGTTAAGAAAAAATAAAATTTGTTGTGTATTTTAGCTCTATTTGACCTATATTCTATGAAAAACACCTGCAGTGGCTTAGATCAAGAGTCCGTCTATCCATGTATCCTGTGTCTGAGCTCTCATTCAAAGAGGTTCTGTATCATGTTCTTATTGATATGCATAGGCCATGAAGTAGTTTTGCAACCCAGTCGTCTGAAATCACTGTAGTCCCAAAACTTGCTCTTTACCTGCTATAAGCTGTTGCAGTACCAGCACAATCCCACCAGCCTGGACTAGTGGTTCTGATAGTCATAGCTATCAGCTGATGGCCATGTGGCCAGCAGCAATCACTGGGGCATTTGGTGGATACAGCAGATCTAAGCCTGCAAAGGCAGCTAGTTCTGTTGAGGAGTTCTGACAGCTGGTCCATCTGCAGCGGTAGTACAAGCCTTGGCAGTTTGAGATGGAGGAATTGTTGCAATGTGCTGCCAATCAGACTGTCTCCAGTGAGGCTCCAAAGCAAGGCAAAAATAACAATAGTGTTCCTAACTTCCAAAGAGGAGAAATCAGCATTGATATACGAACAAAAGAAGTCACAGACTGCAGGAATTAGAAGTAAAGACAAGTGAGCAGTTGACTGGAACAGTAGTCTGACCAGATCAGAGAATCTATTTAGTGGTAATTTGGTTCTAAATTAGTAGAGAAAGAGGTGTCTGGTTAGAAGTCTGTGAAATTTCAGAAGTTAGATCTTGCTTGACTTCAGAGAAGTGTGAAGCAAACTGAGATATTTTCTTTTAAAAATAAATATACAAAGTAGTTGAAAATTACTTTCTCACTTCATCAGCCATTGAACCAGAAAGGATTTGAAGACTGAAATTATAGCTTGTAGACATTAGGGTCAGATTTTTACCTATACTGCATAAACCTTGAAACACAGGGCACGGGATCATTTAGAGTCAAATGAGTTTCATCCCTTCAGAGTGCTTTAGTGTCTTTCATGTCCATAAGTGTAAGCATCTACTAAAAGAATCTTCAAATTTTTGAGTTTTGGCACACTGCAAGTTGGAGCCTGGGAGAAAAAATACTTTACAATCACATGACACTCCTTTATGTGGAGGACAGGGTGATGCCAGTCAGATTCTCATAGGCAGGAGTTGAAAGTGTTTGACAGTGACATGGCTTCATCCCAATTGAATCTTTGATCTCTTTCATTTCAACAAAGTATTTGTTCTAAGTACTCATTAATTTTAAATGTTCTGTATCTCTCTAAATTTAACAAGTTATCAGGAAGAAGATACTATCAGCAATAAATTGAGAAGATGAAAATGGGAGGAGAAACGAATTGTTACTAGATTATTGCATGTCAACCAAATAGATTTATATATGCTAAGCTATAAGTTTTGGTCATAAGTGTTATGATTACACAACAGGACAGAATTGTTTCATTTGTATGTAAATTAAACAAGGAAATAGAAAAATAGAAAAACATGATATAGTAATTACATATGAACAACATGAAACATAAACACATTAATGTTTTACCACTGGATGCCACTGTTGTGTCAAGTAGGTAAACTGAAAAAAAGGGTGTATTATGCTTTCTCATAGTAATTTTTCAAATATTACTAAAATGTCCAATTTATGATATTTATTATTTCTTCAGACACTTCACAGTCCTCTGTGAAGAAGTTGATGTAAAATGGTAGGTCAAAAATTGTACTACCATTTTTATTTTGTCTCCTAATATGCCCAGAAGTTTCAAAACCTTTCAGCCTTAGGTTTTAGTACTTTGTCCATTCCTGTTTGTATGAAAGATAGCTACCAATGCTTCATTCCCCTATCCAATAAGCACCCTTTTTGAAATTATCAGTTTGGGGTTCTGAATTGTAATTCATCCATTGAGTAGCTCTAAGTTATTTGCCTTTTCATATATTCTTGTTCCTCAAAAATTCCCTGCTAGCTCTTTTTAGGCCTACTCAACATGTCAAAATATTTGAGCACTTAGAGTATTGAAGTTCTCTACCCCCCAGTTAGCAAAGAAAAGGTCTGTTTTGTCTGCTCTGAAGTGGTCTAAAGGAACATCTTCCCATTTCCTTTATAATGAGGGCATTCACCTAGATGAGGTGCTTTGATCTCTCACTGGGCCAAATATTTGCACCATACAGTTGATGGTTTGAGTATGACAAATGACCACTCTGTTAGGGTGGCTTCTGCAATGCCCTGTTAATTAGAATTTAAAGATCTGTTTTCCTCTGGTGGAATACTTAACTGCTGTACTAATCCACAGTTCAGGATAAGCAGTTGCAACTAAAGAAAACAATGAAGGATATTTACTTGTAATAGGAAGCAAAGTCTGTGTATCCTCTACTCTTTGAAATCTTGATGAAATTCTAAGTCCAAAGAAGAAGTGGATAGAACTGAGGCAGCAAAGGGCATCATGTCTCCTTTTATTGCCTTGACTTAATTATGTAAGAGACAAATAGACAGATTAACTCTTCAGTAGGCAGTGCTACTGGATGATTTTATCACCTGAACCATATCAAATGACACATAGCATGATAATGAAAATATAAAGTGCATATAAAGTTGTTACCACTGCATTGTTTTCCATTTCAGTTGCATGCATTATGATAATTCTGTACATAGAAAAATAGTGTACAAACAGTACACTACAGATAGAGTACAAAACTAAATACATTCAAAATTAGATCCTCATTTTGTGATAAGCTTTGTAGAGAGATAATATTGCATGCAAGTGAAGGATTAAACCCTGAGAGGACTGCATCTTTGCCATGAGAACTGTCATGCAGTGTCATGAGATTCCATGCTAGGAAAGGGGATTGAAAAGCTCACATTTTGCTAAAATAAGCAAAAGTAAGTCACCAGTATTTGATTGGAATGTACTTTATTCCCAGCAACTGTAAAGGGAAAGGAACTTAAAAATATGGAAAGAGCCTTGTTCTTTGTTTGAAAAATATTGGCTTCTCCCTAACATCAACATTAAAGATCTAAATTAATTAGAAAATCATTTGGTTTATTATTGCAATTAAAATTGCCATGTTTTGAAGCTTTGTGTTGGAAATCTATTACAGATGCCCTTGTTGCATTGTATAGCACAGATCTAGACCTCTTTGTAGAGTTCTTTCATAAATATTATGATAATGTGCAACAAAGTTTGATTTTCATTTATAGGTGAATTTATGTAATGTGTTCTGCCCTCTTTGTCATAGACAGCTGGTGGAAAATAAACCAGATTGAAAGAAAATAGAAGCAATACTTTATTTTAGTTTCGTTTTTTGTACTACTAGTACCTGTCTTTATCTGTTCCTCTGTGTTTAGGAAAATTAATTTGAAATCTTCTGATCAGTTCCCAAGTTAGGTCCTTAAATTTGAATACATTTCATAGCAATTTTTCTGCATCTGAAACAAACACCCAAGGAATCAGAGATTTCCTATAAAATTCTGCAGTAGAAGTGTATTTGGCAATGGTGTTTGAAAGGCAAGCTGATGCTTTTGCATTGAAGACAAGTAGTTTTGGACTCTGAAAGCAGTGAGGCAAAACTTTAGATTAGGTTAAGCATTAATTTAGATACCAAGAACAGTCTAGAAAAGTGTAGTAGCAAGAAGATACTATTATATTTTGACAAGTAGTTTGAAAAATGACAGTCCACATCCTTCAAAGTGTCTGTGCACACCGACCATGCTTCAAGCAATAGTTCAGAATGGTTTTCTGAACAGAGGAATTCTATTCATGTCCCAATGAGAACACTGAAATTTACCCAGGAAGTCTTGAATTTTCTTCTGTTCTGCATGCTTCCTCATATTCCTAGTCTCCTGAATGGAGGAGGGAATTACCCAAATCCCAAGAAAGAAGTAAAAAGTTCAAACCTGAAGAAGAATAGACTGATTCTAGCAGAGTATGGCTGAGAATGGGGACTGGTGAAGAGCGGGGATAAGTTAATGATTTGAGGAAAGGGTATATCTTTACATACAGAAACAATTATTTGAAATATGCTGCAGTTTCTTTGCACACAGAAAATACCCAAGTTAAAACTGGGTTAATCTGAACAAATGTATTTTTACTATCTCGGTTAAGACATATTTAGAATTCATTTCCATAGTTCTACAATTCTTACACAGTTTACAAAAATAGTAGTCATAAAGAGAGATATATGTTCTTCCGGATTTATGTATCAAATGAGCAGGTAAATGCTGTTATATGGCGCCATTCAAATTTCTTGTATGAGACACTGATGAGTTGTCTATGAAATACCTTATAAGCTGTGCTTAATACTATTATTTTTTATCTTTTAGGAGGCTTACCGGGAGGAGCAACTTATTTACAGACTAATGAGACAATCTCAGCAGGAGCGGAGGATTGCTGTTCAACTCATGCATGTTCGACATGAAAAAGAGGTGTTAAGGCAAAACAGACTTTTCAGGGAAAAACAATATGAAGAAAGACGCCTGAAAGAGTTCCAGGAAGCTCTTGATAGAGAAGCGGTAAAGATTATTTACTCCTTGAATTGCTGCAGGACTGTTACAGTACCTTCATGCTATAAAATGGAATTTCTATTGCCAGCTGTTAGCATTAGGACCTTTCTAGTGACAGGGTGATTTAATGATGAATATATTCTTTTATCTAGGTTCAGAGTTACACCTAAGTTAATGAGCGGGGTAAAGCTGAGCAACTTAAAGTCTAATTTTGATCTTTTCTTCCAAACTGATTTTAACTTTGTAGGAAAACATTGCATGCTGAGTTTGAAAGGCACAGTCATGCAGAGGCAAAATGACAGAAGACAATGACATAAGATCTTGTTTCAAGAATCATGTTTTTAATTTCCTTTAGACGTAATCTCTTAACAACCATTTTTGTCAAATGCTGGAGGAGTTTCACTTATGAGTGCTAATTTCTAATTTTTTGATTTAAATGAGCAAGTTCATTTTAGTTTCCAGGACTGTGCACTTCTGCACTTTCATTCTCTTTGCAATCTCAAATTTCCTCTTTAAAAATATTCTAGGCTCTTGCAAAACAAGAAAAAATTGATTATGAAGAACAAATTATCAAAGAAAGGGAACGTCATGAGAAAATTGCTGTTGAAAGAGCTCAGGCACGTTATAAAAAGCATTATTCTATATGTTGGGAAGTGATTGACCAAATCATTGATTTGTCAACAAAAGTAGGAGAGTATCGTCTACTAACAAACAAGTGAGTATGGTGGCTGTTAGGCAAAAATAACAGCTGTTGGGTAGCTGTTAGGCTTCATTATTCAGACTGGTTTAAGTACCATAACATCTTATATAGGTTCTCAGGTATCTTACAGGATAGTTCCAATTAGTTTGTGTGGGAAGATGATACTAGTTTTGTGTGAGGATTCATTGATGTGTAATACAGGGTGAACTAATGCTAAAGCCCTAATTTACTGAAAACTCAACTAACTTGAATCCGTAGTGAGACCAAGATGCTCTAGTTCTACAGCCTGTGAAACTAACGATTTCCCTTTTTATGAACAAATTCCTTAGTTTAAAAATTAAAAACTGAGTGGTGCTCATCTCATTCTAGATTGCTCCACTAGCTGAACACTTCCTCAGTGTAATATAAACAGAAAGAATTTCCTAACATATATTAACCTGCCTGGACTGTCCTAAGAAAAGCAACTCGGTCCAAAATTTTCCGTGTCCTACATGCTGTGATTCCATGTTCTGACGTGCCCTAATTGCACAAGGTTTCTGAGAAGGTCCTAAAAAAGCAGTAACCTCCAAATGCCTGTGCTGTAAGAGTGCTTCCAAAACCACAGAGTAGGGTGTTGCTGGTGTTGATCTATCATTAGTATTCAGTGAATAGACTATGAAGTAAGGCTTAAAGGATTAGAAAGTATGCCAAAATCTTCATCGCCTTTTAGTGTAAATGTATGTTGAAATAATAAAGATCTAAGTGTATGAAATACATATGTTTATATTTTAGGGAAATTATATAAATTTAGGCCCAGTAAATATATGATAAAATAGTCAACCTAGACACAGTTTAGTGATGATTTGATGATTTCCTTGTCTGACAGAGTCATGGTTCCAGTGTAAGGTAGTGTCACATTTGCTTGTACTGAGTCGTGCATAATAAGTATAGATATTTGAAATATCTTTCCAAAGTATGCATATCAAGGTTGTATCTGCATTTACTGCCATTATAGGTATACTTTGTTTGTCCTGCTGTGCACTTAATTGTGCAGGATGCATACAATAGATATTCAATTACTTTACAACAGAACTTGCAGAGTTTTATTTAAAGCTATAACACTCAACTGTCTACAATCATTACTAAAAAATGAAAGTCCAAATTGATGTAATCTTAAGAAATAGTAGAAACTTTCATTTTGACCATATGTTACATTTGTTATTCATACTGTTTATTTAACAGCAATAGAATTCTAATGTGACATATGTCAGCATCCTTGTTTGCATTTAGCTTGCTATTATATACAGTTTATCTTCTTGTTTCATATGAATATTTTTCCTTTCTGAAAGAAAAACAAAGGAGTTTAATACTCATATAATTCTAAATTAATTTTAGCTTCCAGGAAAATTTCTGTAGATTTTTGGTGAGAGGAGGCTTTATACCACAAAAGGGAAGAACATTTTGTAACAGTGAAAAATAGCTACAGCAAAACTGCTACTATACAGCTCTGCCAGCCAAATACTGTGCGATGACACATCTGTGAAAATACTGAAGCCTACAAGTGCCTACAGCTATCATATAAGTAACTAAGTACTTATAAAAAGCTATAATAATTATAGAAAGCATTGTAAATTATATCTAGTTTAGCATATGGTTTTTTGACAATTGTGATTCTTGTAAATTTGGGTCCACTATTCTCAAATATCCAACCTCCTTAATTTTTGGTTTGTAACTCATTCTTTTTTTTTTTTCCTTCTGCAGCAAAATTCCATTAAAACTGATGGTTGCTTGGAAGGAATTTTTTTTTAATGCAAAACCAATGTATGAACAAGCCTCAATTCAACCTTTGCCAAATGAACCAAACCCAGAACAACTTGTAGAGTTGAATAAAATGAATCTGTTAGATGAAAAAGATTATGGTGAATACAAGGTACCTCAAATTGATAAAACATAATGGAAGATAATACACCTTGATTTTTCATAATCATAAACATTTTGTTGTGATGTTTCATTTTGTTCTTTTACTAGTTTCTGATACCAGATTTTGACATGCATTTTCTTTTCATTGCCTGAGATTCTATATGAAATATATGGCTATATTTTCTGTTAGTAGCACTGGAGAACTTGTGCAATTTTAAAACACTGTTGTAATTTCATTCTTGTGTATAGCATTGATTATATTTCTCTCTTGAGTTCATAGGACCAATATGTTAATTGCAATGCAGTTAATTTTTACCTAATTGGAATTTGAAAGTGTGGTTAATACTACCACATTTGAAAATGCAACAGAAAGTAGCCAGCAAAAGCAAGTAAAATGGAATACTATATCTGTCACAATGTCTGATAGTCTTAATTTCAGCAATTTTGAGTGAAAGCTTTCTAACAAGACTTATTGGTTTGAGTGATCCATTTATTTTAAGACAGTAACATTTGTGAAAATTATTAAAAATGGTTGACATTTTCGTTAACCTTCTGTTAGAATACAAGTCACTATTTTTCAGGGTGCCTTAAAAGTTTTCTTCAACTTTACAATATATTAGTGTAAGTTCACAAGTGAAAGATGAGAGATGAATGTTTCCATGTTAAAATGTATTGTACAATTTTTTCCAAATTACATTAATGATACTTTTCTTTGGAAAAAAAACACTGCTACATATTTGGTCTTTTCAAATAACCTATATAACTAGAATATGGCAAAAGCATGGCAAATAATGTGTCTTTGACTTGTTGGGAAATTATAACAACAATATATATGTTCTTTTCTCCACATCCTGAACCAACTGGTACATTTTCTTTTCAAATGAGTATAAACATCCTTCTCTCTGAATTGGAGAGATATGGATTTGATGGGTGGACTGTTGGGTGGAATTGCTTGGATGGTCACATCCAGTGGGTAGTGGTCAATGTCCAGATGTAGATTGATGACGACTGCTGTCCCTCAGGGGTCTGTGTTGGGACCGGTAGTCTCTAATATCTTCATCAATGACATGGTGAGATCAAGTGCACCCTCATCAAGTTTGCAGATGACACCAAGCTGAGTGTTGCGGTTGACACGCTTGAGGGATGGGATGCCATCCAGAGGGACCTGGACAAGCTCAAAGAATGGGCCCATGTGAACCTCATGAGGTTCCACAAGGCCAAGTGCAGGGTCCTGCACCTGGGTCAGGGCAACCTCCAGTATCAGTACAGGCTGGGGGATGAAGGGATCAAGAGCAGCCCTGCCAAAGAAGGACCTGGAGGTACTGCTGGATGGAAAGCTGGACAAGAGCCAGCAATGTGCCCAGAAGGCCGACCATATCCTGGACTGCATCCAAAGCAGCGTGGCCAGTAGGTCAAGGGAGGTCATGCTGCCCCTCTGCTCTCAAGAGAGCCCACCTGGAGTCCTGCATCCAGCTCTGGAGCCCGCAGCACAGCAAAGACATGGACCTGTTGGAGCGGGTCCAGAGGGATGGCCACAAAAATGACCAGAGGGATGGAACACCTCTGCTGTGAGGACAGTCTGAGAGCTGAGGTTGTTGAGCCTGGAGAAAAAGAGACTCCAGTAGTTAAAGGGAGCTTAGAAGAAAGATGGGGACAGACATGTTAGCAGGACCTGTGTTGATAGGACAAGGGGTAATGGTTTTAAAGTAAGAGAGGGTAGATTTAGCGTAGATCTAAGGAATGAAATTTTGACAATGAGGGTGGTGAAACACTGGCACAGATTGCCCAAAGAGGAGGTAGACGCCCCATCCCTGGAAATATTGCAGGTCAGGTTGGATGGGGCTCTGAGCAACCTGATCTAGTTGAAGCTGTCCCTGCTCATTGCAGGGGGGTTTCACGAGATGACCTTAAAAGATCCTTTCCAAATTAAACTATTCTATGATTCTATGATTTTAAGTGTGTTGTCTGAGATCCATTAGAGAGGAGTTACTGTGCAACTTGAAAAGATTTTTTGGTTTGCTTTTAGACTAAAAATACATGTTTAGGTGATATTTTCATTTAAATTGATAATGTTACATTGTCTTATTCTATCTAATGCACATATGTTCAAAGTAAAGGCTGATCAAGTTCTGTTAGTAGAATGTATGCTGTGGCAATATTCATGATAATAGGTTCAGGAAAAGGTTGCATATTCTATCTGGAACATGAATTCAAAACAGTATCTTTCAATAGCTATCTTTGAAACTGCTTGCTTCTGTTGACGGTGATTAAATATTTAATTTATAGAATGATACAATTGTTTACGTTGAAAGGGATGTGGAGGTCATTTAATTCAACCCCTTTGCTCAAAGCAAGGCCAACCTCTGAGTCAGATAAGGTGGCTTGGCACCTTGTCTGGTCAGTTTTCAAGTGTTTCCTAGGACAGAGATTCCACAGGCTCTCTGTGCAACCTGTTCCTGTGCTTAACCACTCACTGTGAACATTTTTTTTTCTTCATTTTTTTTCCTGGTTGGAATTCCTCTTGCTGAAACATTTGACTTTGACTCTGAACCCTTTATTGTGCATCCCAAATGAGGTGACAAACTAAAATCTCATTGGGAATACTATTAGTCCGCATATCTTCCAAAAAGCTGTTTAGTAGCCTGCAACCAAATAATAGTTAATACGCGACTAGTATTATCCTGCATACGAAAATGTTCTCTTCTAGCTTCTCATAGCATAAACTGCACATCAGAACTTCCCTGGTCTTGCAAGATCCAATACTGGTAGAGTGTATATATTAGAGAGACAAAAGCACGATTTTGTTTTCAATTCTTTTGACTACATCTTTCTATTCTCGTCTTTCTTCCAATGTGATTGTGAGTAAGTATCTTTACCAGCAAAAGTTAAGCTGTATGCTGGTACCTCATACCACTGATAAATATATATTGGTCTCAGAGTAGATGAGCTGGAATCTTCTACTCAGTATTTCCTTCGTTTAAAAATGTTTGAATTATATTGTGGTTTGTTTGTTTTGAGTTTGTTTTGGGTTGTTTTTTGTATTTTTTCATCTCTGTTGAATATGTGTTAGGCAAATACATATATTTGAAATCTCTGTCCATAAAAACTTTCAAAGATTGATGTGTGATACTGGGCAATAATGTATTTCAGAAAACTGAACGTTAGGATACTGGGCTTCTATGAAAAAAATCTGCTACTGATTCATTCTGTGGTATTGGTGAAATGATTTTTCATGTTTATGGAATTAAAAAAAATATTCTAGGAATCTATGAAAATGATGATGGGGTACTTCTCTTTCTCAACTGGGTCTTAGTATCAATAAATGCTTAATGATTATGACATAGTTATAGTTTTTAACAAGGGTTTAGTCTAAAAAATGTTTTTTTTAATTTAGTATTATTCAGATTTGGTTACTATATGAATTGTGTTTGTGTATAAATACATGTATCTAGAAAGATGAAAGACAAGGCATATTCACAAATTATTTGGTAATTTGTCATTTATACAGAGTATGACAGGGGAATGGTGCCCAACTGAAGACAACAGTGAAAACAAACCTCCTCTTAATAATAACATATTGGGTCATGTGCTTCATAGACTGATGGAAATTTTCTATCCTCCAAAACCTAAATCTTCACCACCTCTGTTTCCTCCATTTCCTGTCAAGGGATGTATTTTGGGAAAACTTTTTAGTGGAAAAACTACCTGTGTAAAGTTTATTGAAAAAGGTACAGTTGGTTTTTTTTCCCCTTAAATTCTTAAAATTTTTTATTTGCATTAAAATACCACTCTTACAATGAAAATTGTTTAGGCACATTCTTGCTTTACTAACCTTGAACTTCAGATGCATTTGTATTTTGCAGGGATTGGTTGCAAGTCATTCATTCATTACCTTCCAAAATAAGATTAAAGACACGTGAACTTTCATGTAGTGTTAAGAAAGTATTACTTTTGCTTTGAGAATTTGAAATGCTTTTGGCAAACTTCTCTGGGGATCTTTGTTACAGAAGAGACTAGCAAGATAGCTATGTGATTGTGGATACACACTGTGCAGTGGTAACAGAGAAGGGATGGTGGAAACAACTTACATCAAAAGCCCAAACAAAACCATTAATTTAATTGCCTGCAATAGTTTCTCTCTGTATATGCTCAACTCAAACTGTAAGGTTATCTAATTTTTGTGTGTATTAGTTTGTAATATTCAGGTACTATCTGTTGATACTCTGGTTCAGGAGGCCATCCGAGCTTTTCTTAAAAATGAAATGAAAAGTGAGCACAATGTGATTCCACAAGAAGCAGAGAGTTCTGGGGAACAAAATGAGGTAAGCATTTTTGTTCATTTTGGTTTTGGCTCTCTTGGGGAGATAAGAATTAAATATGTAAGGAAGAAAGCATAGTGTTTCAATTTTTTCTCTATTTCAAACTTAATTCTAAGTTCTGACTTAAAAGACTTCAAGAGTCAACTTGAATTGACAGGCTTGTTTTTCTGATAATACATAGTTTCCTTTTTAATCCATTTCCTTTCATAATTGATACAAGGTCCAGAAGAACTTATCGAAATCACCACTGGAAGTTCTAAAGAAACTCCAAACAGAAACACCTATCAATGGAACCAAAGGTGAGTATATATATTTTATTTATATATGTATATATAAATTAATAAAATTTAATTCTTATCTTATCTTATTAGATTTAAATGGAAGTTCCCCTTTCTCTTATACATTTGTGGTAGTATCCATGACATCTGAATTTTCACAGTAGTTTCCATTATGAATTTTCCTATTTCCACACATTCCTAGTGTCTGGGAGCAGCAAGTGCAGGCTGCTCCTTCGTGAGCTAGGTGAGGAGGGCAGCAGCAAACCAGGAAGCACATCATTCACCAACAAAGAGTGAGGCTATCAACTGAAGTCTGGGTCACTATCAAGTCCAGAGATACGGGTCCATGTGAGCCTCAATCTGGTGATAACCCAGCAGTTCTGCCAATGAAGCAAGTCTGAGGTCAATCTGGGAACTG